TCAAACCTTGATGTACAAACTTCTTCTGAGCAGTCTTCTCGATGGTAACGAGAACGTTTTCTTTCCTGTTGTTGTTTCAAGTGTAACTATAGTCAACTCTTTTTTAACAAAGGTATAACACCGTAACTTCTTTTCATCAAACAAAACTGCGTTGCAATGGTTATCTTCTTGATTGCATAGGGTAAGGCAAGCAAATTCGTCGTCCTTGTCAGTCCTGTCTTTCAAGATGAACTTGTCGTGATCTTGGTAGCCTGCTGATAATGGATGATGCCGAACAAAAAATGCTGAACTTGATTCCTGTGTTAATTGGCCACCTTGAGCTCGATTGAAAATACTCGAAAAAATCAAGAACCAGCGGTAGTGGTAATTCATGTCCAATCCTACGATAGCCTTCACTTCCTAAGATCATGAACAATCGAAAAACACTTTCAATGACAAAAAATACAGGTGATGTTTGGTAAAGTAATAAATAACAATGATKGACCGTACTTATCGACACAGCAACGAATCAGAGCAAATGTGTACTTTTTAAATTTAATGATTCACTGTTCTCTGACAAGAGACTCGACATCTAACTTTAAAAAGTAAATGTGTCGAAGATAAGATGATTTCTACGACAAGATTTCCGATTCTCAGTTCTCTCGGTTGAATACAAACGCGGTTAGGACGTTTAGTTACTGATTTTGTCAATTTTGATCATTCSATATAAAGTTAACCTTACTTTCTTGCTTAGCAGAGAAAAGAGGGCYCTATCATCTTTGATATTACATCCATTAGGAAAAGGATGCATTCTTTTTTTTACTTACTTCCACAGACAAGATCACTTATAATAACTTCACCAGTCGGGGAAAGACGGAGACGCGCTTCTAAGACTTTCAAGCCTGTTTTGACTGGCATATAAATTTATTAGCAGGCCATTTAATTAATATAGGTCGATCCAAAYCAGGTGACACCTCTATGACATTTTTTTCTACCATTACCACAATACTTTGCAACGATTCCATTCTGCCTTGTATTTGTAAATAAAGTGCGCAGTGCATTATGGTTTTGGTAAAATGTCGCCAAAGTGATTATGTTTGCCCTCCGTTTAAACGTCTTAGACTTTCATATGAACTTTCAAATGAACAATTGCAACATTACCGTGTCTCATATAATCAGTTATGGCTCGTCGTTTCGCCTCAAATTGACGAAGAAAAAAAGAGTTAAATTAGTTGCAAACTTCTTTTCAGCGCGCGTTTTTAAACAGAGCTGTATAGATAAAGATTTGCACATGACTAAAAAAAACATTTATTTAATCACTGTTTCCAGTTTAATCATCTTGATTATTTTTTTGACATTTGACTCTTTTATGACATGATAATTACCGAACCAACTTAACGGTACACTACTTTTCCCTCAATTATGATATAGTTGACGCTCGAATCCTACTCATCTAAGCTCATGCATTTTCCGTTATACCAGAAAATATTAACACAAATAATGGCATAMTATTAAAGATGAATTCAAATTTATGGCTGCTGTTCATTTTTTCTAAGCTTGGCTTCTTTCGTGAATTTTAGGTGTTTACTAAAGATATATGTGACGATGTCAGTTCATGGTTATAGTGATAATGTCCAAAAACATCCAAATTTATAAAATGTGACGTTATGTACTACCAACTCGGGGAGTAGACATCATTTAAATAAAAAATATGTAAAAATTCTTTGCTAGTTAACCTCTATAACTACTTCAATTCCTCTTGGAAAGTTCTTTTGTCGTTTGTTGACCCTGAATAGTAGTTGTATTACAGAGTCCGAAGTATGTTGATTCTTGTTTGTTGCTCATTGCATTACCCTCTAGAAAGGTGTTTCTGAGTTCTTTCTTGAAATATTGAAAGACAAGTGGGCCGAGAACTTCATAGTGGAGTCACTCAAATTGCTCGAGTGCTGCCATTGTTGTGAAAGTATTGCCGAGGATTAATGGGGCAATCATAAGTCTTCATCATCCATATCCACGCTTCCTGGACTGGGYTTTCGAGACGATGCCATCGACAGTGAATCCATGGGTTCTGTTGGATCAATAGGTTCTTGTTTGATCTTCACGCCACAGTTAGTGAACGTCGACTTTGGTTCAGCTTTCGCTGTGAGTATGGTCGATAACAATGCCGTGCTTGTGTCGGATGTTAGTGGAGTTGTTGGAATGCCATGTGCTCGGGCATGCATCTCTAGCTCCTAAATCAGAAGAAACAGTCAACAGTTATATTCCAATAGATACACAGAATTGAAAAGACGTAGTCGGGTACCAAAAGGTTACATCATGAAATCTAAGATCCAAAATGAGCATGGGGAAGCAAATTATAACAGTATTTTAGTGTCAAAAGATTGCCTGCACTGAATACAATGAGAGAGATGCTATAATGTAACATGTTTAGGCAAATATCYTTTGAATTCCTGAGTACTTAAAATCCCCTTCGGCTTCGATGATATCTCCTTTTTGCAACCCAACAACACTTTTTTAATTAGGTTTAATTGAAAGAACAAATAGGTCAATGAAAGAAAAGATGGATAAATGAATGAATGAGCTTACTGGGACATTTTCCGAGATTCTTTAGCAACTGATACTAAGAAATTGTTCTTTCACTTTGTGAAAGGTTGTCTTGTTTTAACTTAATCCTTTGGTAAAATATGAATTTMATCCAACAAAAACAGATATTTGACCCGATTTGATCTATCGAACCGACCTGAGAATAGCATAACTTAATCATCATAAAKATTTGCAAAGAATAATCCCATTTCTCAGAAACATTGCGAACACTTTGAAAATTTCAGCAAAACGTTCGACTAACCTGTACTCGTAACAGCAATTTTCTGTTGATCTCTTCAAGTTGTCTCTTTTCTTCGTCGATCTGGTTCATTCTATCAAGTTCCCMCTTTAAATTTTTAATATAATCCACTGAAGACTTCAATATCGTTCCTTTATTTTGTCGCATGTCCCTAAATAGTAATATKCAAGAACGGTTTCAAAAATGGTATAAATACATAAATCATAAAGTCACAGTCAATGAGAAAGTTTCTCTGAAGCTGCTGGCATTGAACTGGGTTACCAAAGTGTCAACCAATCGTTTTCCTTTTGAAAACCGATGATTGATACTTGTCAACGCAGTTTAAGCCACTAGATTTCTTATCAAGTATTTTYGAGGTTTTCTCAAATTGTAAACACAAATGTACAAATGCATTATATTTGAGGCTCTTTTCAAAATTATTTGTTTAAAGAGTGATAATACTTGGTAAGACAAACAAGAAAAAAAACGAGCTTTGAATACACTTACGCATCTTGTTTCGGTAACATGGTGCCTAGTTCTTTAATACGATCATTGATATTAAATCTTCTTCTTCTTTCAACTATTAGGGAAAAAACGACATCAATTGACAATAAAAACATGAAAACTAATAAGACAAATTTGTCATTACAAAAAGTACGAGGAGCAACGTACTGCAAGAACATAGTAATAATAACAAAGTAGAAAAAACTTACTCATGTTGTGATTGTCTTTCTTTTGCCTATCACGTGCCATTGCCTGTGGATCCAAAGCTGCAAAAATATTATTAAAAAAAACATCAAATGTTATATTCTAGAAGCCACATATTCCATAACACGAGTAGAATTTATTTGTAGATAAATACTAAACAGCATTGTGTATTATATCCTTGAAACACTTTGTATGAACACAATTTTGTACAAAGTGCTCTATATGGGAAGTAAAGGAACTATAATTTTGCATTATCTTACATTGATTAAGTTGCACACTAAGAGTTTGCAGTTTCTATTTACATGTCATTTACATGTCACTACACGTTTTATGTCACCATTTAGAGTAGCACATGTGACATTTGACATTTGAGATAATAGTTTAAAGTGTAGTAAAWTCAGGACAAAACTATGCAAGCAAACAAAATAARAGAAGGRATAAAGAAAAAAATGCTTACTTTCGTTTAATATAGCTGGACAAGAAGAAGGTGCTGCTCCCGAAGAATTTCCCTTAAAAATAGACAAACAATGAGTATTTTATTTTGTTTGTTTGTTTGGTGCTCTTCAGAAAGTCTTTGAAAAGCTCAAAAATGCATATCATCAATGATGTAGTATTTCTTACCATTGGTGTTAGRCCAAGGCCACCATACAAGTCATACATACTGCTTGCTGTGGGTATTTGCTGTMAATTTAAAAACAATCAATTTTAGTTTTGTTGTAACTACTGGATTTTCTGTCATCTASTCCAATACTCAGCAAGAAATTTCAATTCTAACCTACATAATACAAATTGAATGTTCTTACTGTCTATTGGGAGATTAAGAAACCAGTTATACATCAAATATTGTTTCCTTTCTTAGCTACCAGTGTATTTTCTGTGATTGATTAACTGTACCAGGGCATAGGACACGATATGTGGGTACAGAACCCTTTCCTGGGGTAATTACCACATATCTTCCCCACCCTGAGCAAATTTCCACATTTTGTATAATTTAAATCTTAATTAATAAAAGGTTTGGTCTAGTGAAATTAGATGTGAATGGCTTRTTTGCTTTCTGGGATGTCTGTGAAATTATTTTCTGATTTTCTGAAGCTAAAATCCCCAGGTTTTGTTTGCTTGACAACGATCAGAGGAGCTGGGCACTAGTTAAAATAGTGATGAACTGGGCTTCCTTTATATAGTGCACATTTGAACAGGAGATACACTGGTGCAAATGCACTACAGCTTATAGTAGCTGAATAAGAATGGAACTTTTCTCTTGAATAAATCAGGAACTGAGATAACAATAAAACCCAAAAGGTCTGACAATTTGGGTATATTTAAACCTTGGGAAAGTGATAGTAGATAAATTAAAAACCATTTACATTTCTGCATGATCCATATGTTACAAGAAATCTTATCTGAACTTTGAGGTTTATTCCCTGCCATGCCTGCTCTCAAACCTCACACACCCCCACCCCTTCAAACACCCCCACCCCCCTCCCCCCCCCCCCATATCCTATCAGATGTCCTGCTGAATGAACGTAGTACATTATTGTAAAAACTACAAACCTGTGGGTCCTGCCACGATAATCCTTCATCAAGGTTATTGGATTCCAGACTGAAAATATTAAAAAATATTAACTAGTAACTAAATTTCCAAAATCTTTAGTCTTGGACTGTATATTGCTCATTCTACCATATAATGTCTGTCAAACAATCATTGACATTTTCACTAACATAATTCAATTTTGAGCTTTGGTAATTTTAAATGAATACCTGTTTGAAATGAGTACTTTATTTTTAATATTTTCATATAAAATTACACTCTTTATAAACTATCTATGGCCTTAAAGACTAGATCATAAGTTCACTTGACGAATTTCCTTGTTTCATTTTCCATTGAAAATCAGCAGTTGATGAAAAGGTACTTATATTAGAATTGTACCTACCTTATGATATCATCAAGTAGGCTGTCAACATGAAGATCCTGTTTGAAATATAAGCATTATATTAAATGGCATTCATGGAAATAACAATATTTGTAATCAAGCAATGTCCAGTCAACTGTGACAAAATGCACTAATAGGCACTTGTGCACATTATTTTAGGTTAAAATTTTAAATGACTTGAAAGTGTTTCAGGTTTCCTATTTCACTTCTGGACTGCATGGTAAAACATGCAWTTTGCATTATTTTATACAAGGRAGATCAAAACATGGTGAAATATTTATCAAGCATTTGAATTGCGAGTAAGTGTYTCCCTCAATCAACCCTGTTCTCAATGTAAAAAAACAGCAAATTTCTGGATGAAAACAAGCTCAAAATACAGAATYTTTTTCTTACTGTAAAGAACTGATTCACATTCYCTTCATTTAGATMTAGCCAATAATCTCCAATTATGAGCAATTTTCGCACAATACCACCAAATGATTTAGTTATTTGTTTTCTATTTCACAGTGAACATACCTCATTGTTACCAACACTATTAGGACTTGTTACTGCCATGGGACTTTGTGGAGGCTGTTTAACTCTGTTTGCGGCTAAGCTTGCAACAGCTTGTTGATTTATTGCATTTAATGTTGGCTGACTATTCGAGATTACATTTATTGCTTTTGTTGTGTCCATAGTAAAGTGTGCTGGTAGTGACATAGTCTGAGATCTTTCAAGAAATTCTTTAACCTGTCTTTCTCTTTGTTGTTTGACATAATAACGAGTTGGATTTTCAAGCTTAGTTTTYACCTGAAAATATGAAAAAAATGTACTTTTTCAGTATAATGTTGATTTATATAATGAAMAATTAGTTGTTGAAAAAGGATTGATTGTTGACAGATATCAAATTAGGCATAGTCTTAGAGATATAAAAATAACAGCTTGGATCCTGGAAATTACGAAGCCATTAGCCTACAATTTGGATTTAAATCCCCACTAAACAAGAACCTATTTAGCTTAAAAATTGAAAAAGGTTCTCCAAGTTCTTTTGTTGTCTTCAGGGGGTTGAAGATGTTTTGGATTTCTTTTTGCTCTATTAGAATATATACTCTCATTAGATTATTTCTTTTAARTATTACATATTAATAATTTATTAAAAAATTTATAAAAATAATGATAGCAAAAACAACAATGCAAACACAGCATCAATATCCATTTGAAATGCAAACWTTTCGAATAAAGAAAAAAATRATTCAAAAACYTACTTGTAAAACACTTGTTGGAACTTCAGGGATAACTGGAGCAGAAGGGAGAGTGTTTGCTGGTACAGCTATACTTGGTGTCTCTGGTACAGTTTGTAAACTTTGAGTCCTTCTCTTTTCACATTTCTCCAGTTGTTCCAGTTGCTCTAGTTGCTGTCTCTGCAGCTGCTGTTTYAATACTGTTCTTGTCATTGGGGAYGTCATTGTTTTCTTTGGAGTTGTCTGAGCAACACTTCCACTTTTTAAAAGCAGTCCCAACACAGAGGTTTCTTGAGAACTACACAGAGATTGAACAGTAGGATAAGTTTGATAAGAACAAGAACCTTGAGGGAAATTGCCAGGAGAATCATTGCTAAAGAAGTACATTTTGGTCATTATTTATCATATACAAGAAAACTGRCAAAAACTAGAGCCTTGTTGCACCCACTGATTGAGCTAACCAGACAAAACACTTCTAAATAAATGTGTTTATATGCCTGGTGAATCTCAACAGCAGTTCAAAGTGCATGTGTTCTATTASAAAATCCCTTATAAGACCAAGAAGAGGAAGCTTTTATGCAAATGATCACTTCCTGTCTAAAGATGTCACACAACACTGGTATACCCATATATGGTAATAGTGAAGGAAACACCCTGTGACATCATGTCACACCCTAAGATTTAAACAATGCCCATGTAAATGAACATCCAATCATTTAAGCTTCTGAGAATCCRATATGAACACAAACTGAAACAATTGTTCAGTTAATCCAATTGAAATGTCTCCGCTAAGTGTTTGGATCTAAATTGATTATTTTACTGAAGCCAGCTAAAATGTGTCTATATTTAGCAAATGGTGTAATCATCTGAAGGAAGCGGTTTTTGGTCACTGGTTATAAATCAAGCACATTTCAAGGAATCCCCTTTRAACCTACCAAACCAGACATGAATACAGATATGTACATGTAGTTACTCATGGTATTCAAAGTTATAATGTATTCATGTTAAATGTCAAAATAATTATCAGCATTTGTATACTAGACATTTTGGTCATTACATAATCTTATTAATCAAGGGCTGCAGCACAATGACAAAKCATTTRCAAAGTCAGCATGTGCATGATTTTGRTCAGAATCAACATAACAATCAAAACAACTTTTACACAAATGAAATCTTATACTACTTCCTCAATTATATTTCATCAACCACTGTTTCTAGCTTGGAATATAGTTGCTGTTGGTCAAAATTTGAATAACAATAACATTTGCACACATGAAAATGAAATAACATGCAATGATGTAATAGTCCCTTGTTCTAGCAGGCTCTTGAACTGTAGCCTTGACATTCAAGTAAGAACAGAATACGTGGGACTGTAAAATACATCTACTACCCTAGTGTGAGAAAAGATATCTATTTCATTGTCCCTTTGCCAGTTGACCTGCTTCAATGCAAAGGTACTGCTACTATATAAAAGACTACACAGAAAACTGTGACACTATGCCTTACAATAAAAACCCTTGTAGTGCGACCTATATGTTATGAAATTTGCATGCCAAATTTTGAGTTTTTTAAAGAACTAAGCATAAAATGCTTTAAAAAATCAATTCAGATATATTTATATACAAATCTCTACTGAAGAAAATTCATATTCAAATAAATATTCAAATATCCAAATGAAGATGACTGATCAGTTGAAACTGCATCCTAAGTCACAGCAAAATTCAAAATTCTAAAGAACTTTAAAACCTGACGGTCAAAATGCAAGAGGTTTTTCTGTTAAGGCACGGTAATACGAGCAACAAAAACGTCCAACTTGTCTCGCAACATTGATGCAAAACGAGTTGGAAAGCGATGCTGCTCGTTTTTCTACGCGCGTACCAACTTGTCTCACGTCAAAATGGCTTGTTGCAAGTTGGAAAAATTTGTTGCAGAAAGTAGAAGATCATTCTACTTTTTGCAACAAAATCCGTCGATGTTGCTCGTATTACTACAGCAACCCAACTTGTCTCGCAGCAAAATGACGTTTAGCGCGCACAAGCCAACATCAGGTGATGTTTTTAGCCAATAAGAAATCTAAACTAATTCAGCTTGCAACAAATTGTTTTACTGCGAGACAAGTTGGTTCGCTGGTAGTAAAACGCGCAGCATCGCTTTTAAACTTGTTTTTCAGCAATGTTGTGAGACAAGTTGGACGTTTTTGTTGCTCGTATTACCGTGCCTTTAAAAAGAATGGGTTTGAACAATTTTGGTCTACTGTAGCTGCAAACTAAAACAAAGGAAAAATGATGATGATGATAATAAAGCTACTAAATTGTCATAACAATTATTGTCAAGGTAAACTTATAATATTGAGTTATTGCAAAAATATGAACTTGTACAATCTTCATTAAGTATTTTTTTTTTCCTTTTGTTTCTTGAACTGTTCTCAGCATGAAATATATCGTTTCAAACTGGCTTTCGCTTGCATGCCAATATGAAAGCAACCAGCCATAACAGTGATGCATGAACACTTTATTATAATCCAGGGATTAAAATTGATATTTTCTTTAAAAACAAGAAGCAGATTACTATGTTAGAGTTAGAGAATGGATTTGATCTGTCCAAGTTGCAAGGACATGTCAAAAATGCGAACTGCATGAGGTGGAATTGCCTAAATTTATTTGGCAAATAATCTGTTCTAGCTTGTCAATGAGATTCTGTGAACATGCCGCTGTTTTCAAACATAATTCAACTAGAACACTYTATCCCACTAGAAACAAGATCTGCTTTTTGACGGTACAGGTCTAGGCTAGTTTCCTGATCGATGAAATTAAAAACCAACAAAACGTCATCGAACCGGAATCAGTTTCACTTTCTAGCACATGCAAACACCAAAATACTCCTATATAATCGTATTTGAGTTAAAAACTTTAACAGAGCTATGTATGCATACTGCTCTTTGATTATAGCCCCTTGATAAAATCTCACTTTCTATTTTCATTCAATTTTTCCGAATTTAGGAGAGCGTCGGGGCCGGATATCCTAATCGTCTGCTGTTCGCAAGTTGCTTCATGTTGACTTGTTTAACCCTTTTGTGAGGTCTTTATCTGAATGTCTAATCGAAATACAGGCTTCAGTAAGCTTAATATTAGTCTTCATAAGAAGTTTTCATTAAAATGGTGACTCCATTAGACACAATGTACAAATATTTATCGATAAAAAAGATCACTTGAGCCAACACGTGTATGGTGTTTTGTACGCGTGGGGGCAGCTCCTTCGAGGTGTTGCATTTCTAAACTTTTTAAATTTATCCAATAAAATTCAGCAAAAGCAAGCTGGACTTAGAGGAAAACACTCCAATGCATTATCTAGGGATGTTTTACCTTTCTAGAGGCTCGACAATTCGTGATTTCAACTCGTAAAAGGCTCTCCCAAATTCGTTTGTTTCGTCTTGGAATCCCTCTTCAAGAAGATCGAAGCCAAGATCTACGCCTGATTCGCACATTTGGGTACTTCAAACAGTCCCCCTTCAAAAGTGGGCACTATATAACAATGATAGAAGAGAATCCCTTCCAAAACGAATCGGCAAAACCAAGCACAGTAAGAAAATATATGTTATGTATACTTCACCAAACAAGATCTTCTTCCATATTATTTTTCTTCGTACGCTGATTGGACAATTCTATCACGTGGGTAATAGCAGACCTTCAAAATAGTTCAAAATAGTGCATTATGTCAGAATAATTACAGGGTTGACAACATATTTAGACCCTGTAGAGTGGGGCGAGGCAGTTGAGTGTAATTGTTTGTTTGGAGGWCGATGTCCTTATATGGTCTAAACATTACATCATATTTTACACTGGGCGAAGGGAATTTTTATTTGGGGATTTCCCCTTACTGAAGGACTGTACTTATATTTAGTTATATTTTCTGGTTCGGTGTTTTAGAAATCATACGATGATCACATGATCGCAGCAAACAAATTATCAATGCAGAAAAAACAATTGTATGTCTATTTTCGTCTTCTAATTACAAACTTTTGAATGAATTTTTAAATCCAGCTGATTGAATGAATTAGCGAARTAAAGACAGAGGAACTGAGGAGGTGGGATGATGGATTAGTGAATTGGTGAATTGGTGAATTGGTGTTTGGGTTTTATGTTGAAAGCCGATGCGACCTGATGAAAAAAATAGAGGAACAATATGTGAATTTACGAGCGACCAAATTAAATGGATTAAAAAACAGAGTGTGTTAAATAAATAATTTAAAATTGATAGGAGGCGATGAATAAATAACTGAATAAATCAGTAGATAAATGAGCAAACATTTGAAATGAATAAAATCCGAGAAATGAACAAATTGCCATACTTCACGRGCGKGGATCACGCGCGAGACATTCTCYGAGTTGGTGCGGAGTTTGCAAATGTAATTTCTGATTTTTGCTTGTTTGTCTTTTATTGTTAGTATTCTCTTGATACATGATCTTGACTGGT